AAAAAAATATGTATGCAAAATAAAATGTTTGTTGCGCAGCCAATCAGCATATTAGAATGATTTCTGAAGGATCATGTGAAAATTCAGTTTTGCATCACAGGAATTAATTTCACAATATATTCATATACTACAAGTTGTAATAATATTGCACAATATTATACTGTTTTTACTGTGTTTTTGATCAAGTAAATGTAGCCTTGGTGAGCATAAGAGACAAAAGCCTTAAAAAAATGATTCATTTTATCTGAAATTATGTATCTGTTAAATACATAGATGTGAATTATATCCTTCATATTTTAAAATGTAATAAGTAGGTAATCACTGCAAACACATTCGAATAACAAAGAACAAGCAGTTTGGTTTCTGATCGTATCCACTGGCTCATGAAGTCAGTAATAGGTGACACACAAACACTGCAGTGTTTCCCTGAGACCACGACTCTGGGTCTGAGGAAATGGTGTCGGAAACCAAGCTACAAAAGTGGGAAGTTCAGCCTCAGAATATAAGGAAATTATAGAGCGTACAGTACAGGCAGATGACTTAAACTACTTCCTCATACCTAAATAACAACAGAACAATGCGTGACTGTGAAATAAGACCAGCCAACACCTGTGGCATAAAAGCTTCCCTCCTAATAATCGTTAATGACAAAAGAGTATCAGAAAGCAAGTTAAAGAAATGAAAAACTGTGAGAAAAAACATGCACAGGCAACTATGTGACAATTACGAGTCTGCTGAACGTCTTCAACCACGTTTGGAATAAATGTTAAAGTCACATTCAAATCAAGATCAGGGTTTACTCGCATCAGTAATTCAACGAACTATTGCAGTTCACCCCAGCTGCTCGAAGTACAGTATTTGCAAGGACAGTCCTGCTGAAGCATCCTAGCACACTGCGCCCTGCTAAAAGGCACAATGGTGGCGGAGCAGGATTGGGAACACTGGAACTCCAGGGACAACATTACTTGGAAATGAACCAGCAACCTTTGTGCTAGCTAATCAGATACTTAAAAATTAGGCTATTAGCACCAATCGCCTGGGACAGCTGGACCTGGGTCCTTTAAAATGTACATAACCTCTGCAATTCCAAAGCTCTCTTTTCCACGAGGAGGATTATGTAATGAATACGAAGTAAACTGCTGATACCAAATTAGATAATTCTTTGAATTAGTAAACATTACTAATGATTTTTTAAACACCATATACAGACAAAACTTCACAAGGTTAAATTTGCTGAACTTGGTTAATGCATTAGGTATCATAAACTAACAATGAACACTTTTTACACAATAACATAAATCTATATTACTCATTGCCCATTTATGTTCGTTCGTAATGCATTATAGGTCATTTAAGCAACTGGAAATGTTACGCACAGACTCCGAGAGGTCATTCACACACGCTTGATCTCTCATAACTGCATTAATAACTGCATTAGTCGGCTATCAACGGCTCAATCCTCAAAAATTACGTTTTGTAAGAGATGCGTAAGAAATGAACCCTACACGTAATGACGCAAGAACCTTTTAAGGACAAAAACCTGATGAATGTCTTGAAATACAACATCTGAACAGTAGTAGCAGAATAACTGACTCCGATCCGTTGGATTATTAGAAAATAATGCACACCTGGGGTTTATTATTATTTAATAATTCAACAGCTCCTCGTCAAGTATTCCTTATTGTTATAGTAGTGTTCCCAATGTAGCCTATTTTGAAACTGTTATAATTTAACGTAGAGTATTTATATTTGAATGTAAATGAGTTAAAGTTTAAATCAAGCGTCATCTTTTAAAGGGGACTAATAAAGCAATAAGCCCCTTAGCGGTTAGAAATTCACTGTAAACCACGGCTTCACGGGGATTATTGCTTTTATAAAATGGTTATTCCATATACGTAAAATAAAACAGAGCAAATAAAGTGTAATGGTATTAATAAACACAGTATTCTTCCACCAAACAATGTAGCTCCTCAGAAACAGTTGTGGTTGCTACAAAGTGGTTGCCGAGCAACACACAAACGTAAACAAAGCTGTGTGTTACTTTGTAGCGTCATTTACAACAGCTTCGAACGCGGCTCAGCCAATCAGAGCCAAGCACCGGAACTCTCCGCTTTATAAATTGTGTTTTAAGTAAACTGGAAACAATAACTATATCATGTGTTAAAAGTAGGCTAAATTGTGTACAAAATAAATATTTTTAAACGCTGAATTTTCTAGGTGCTTTATAATGTGTAAACAAACAGCATCTGTCAGACAAAACACTGGGTTTATTGTGTCTCACTCTCAACAGCATCATTGTTTCACTTTTTGAGCTTCCACAGACACAAGCAACAGACGACACCTTGACCAGTGCGATACACACAAAGGAGATTCCCTGCAGGGTAAACGGAGACACACCTTGAAAACCTTTGGCCACACTGCTGAGTAAACAAACAGCATCTGTCAGACAAAACACTGGGTTTATTGTGTCTCACTCTCAACAGCATCATTGTTTCACTTTTTGAGCTTCCACAGACACAAGCAACAGACGACACCTTGACCAGTGATACACACAAAGGAGATTCCCTGCAGGGTAAACGGAGACACACCTTGAAAACCTTTGGCCTAGAAAGCAAAGCACATGCTGTTATATTTTCGCTGGCTCAAAAACATCTGACACATTGCAGCCAATCAAGCAGAACAACGTGTGGTACTGGATCACTGTGCTTTCCAAGAGATGAACTGGTACTCGGTCCACGAGATGCTGATTTCTCAGAATGTGCGTTATGCAACACCCACCGTCTGGAAGAGTTCGAGAGGTTTCTGCATAACTCTGAGACGGCTGCCCGAGGCGCAGACGGATCGCAGCAGATCTCTGCAGTTGTTATGGAGCCTCTGAATGACCCTGGAGGACGTACGGATCAAATGTCACTCGGATCACGGGAGGCTTTCAGGAAAAGGCCTGAATCGCTCCGAGTGTAACAGGTAACAGAAGCCACGTTCAGAGCCTTGGCTTCAACTCAGCAGTAGGGGTGTGCGATATGATGAGCTACAGCGCACATTCTATCAGTTGCAATTCTGGCGTCTCCGTCTCAATAAACTGTGCAACGCGACATACATTCACATCAAATGTTAACTCAGCGGTACAGTTACACTCACGGGACACTGCACTTATTCGCAATCACAAAAGTACATTATTTGCATGTGCTTTAAAGCCTTGGCGATTAAAGGGGTCATAGGATGCTACATGCACTTTTACAAGTTGTGTACACAACCACCCTATAATGATAAAAATCCACCCAGTGTTTTTTTAATCTACTAAAATCTTTACCCCTTTCTCAAATCGAGCCGATCTCAGATGCCTGTCTGTGTGACGTCACAAAAACAGGCCCCTCCCACGATAGTTTGATTGACAGTAGTGTTTCAGCACAGACTGGACTGGCGTCTTACATTAGCTCCGCCCCTGAGTGACTGTCATCAGTCCGCCATTGTTTCACCGCCGGAGCAGATGTAGACAAGAATGACTCCTAACAAGCGATCGAGGTGTTCTGTTGCTGGATGTAATAATGAACAGCAGTCTTCATTTACTCCCGACATCTGAGCCGCTGAAGACGCAGTGGATTACATTTGTTTTTGAAGGGAATGCGCCCCCGATCTACATAAATGCGTCTATGTTCACGCGAATCATTCGTGATCCAGCTTCACCTACAGAAGTAGTAAGGTTTTTGAATTAATCTTTGTAAATCGCCTTTCCTAATAATGTGCTGATTAGCAAGTTTCACGATGAATGCAACTAAAGTAAACAGTCCCTCGGCTCGGAAGAGAGGGGCGGGGCCAGCAGAGCTCATTAACATTTAAAGGAAAATGCAACAAAACGACTTGCTCTGAAAAGAGCTGTTTTTGACAGGATAAAAAAAAGGTGTTTTTTACACTACATTGAGAAATTTTAACCAAACTATGTTATGACTTTTCATTAAGACCCTAAAGAATCATATCAACTTGTGGAAAATGGGCATCCGATGACCCCTTTAAAGGAATAGTTCACCCAAAAATGAAAATTTGCTGAAAAATGCTCTGCTGAACAGATTTGGAGAAATGTAGCATTGCATCAGTGTCTCCTGATTACTGGACTAAGTTATCGTTTATGTCTGATTGCATGAATACTGTCAAAAACACACAAGATTTACATATAAACACAGTTGGTTATGTCTAAAGTGAAAGTAAACCGTTGAGCGAAAAACGTATGCGTGCCTTTATATTAGATGCGTGCAGGTCTTAAAGTGACAGCAGACTAATAGTACTAAACATGCTGCTGCTTGTAATTAAAGGGATAGTTCACCCAAAAATGCATTATTTACTCATTCTCATGTTGTCCCAAACCTGTATTAATTTATTTTTTGGGTGAACTATCTCTTTAATTACAAGCGGCTGTATGTTTAGTACTATTAGTCTGCTGTCAATTTAAAACCTTTAAAACAACAAAACACAGATAAATTTAGTACTTTAATACAGTTACTGTAATAAGAATCAATGTATAATTCATACAGTGAAGTACAGTGTTTTATTGTTATATTTGTTCACTTAATTTCTTGAACGCTACTGCTAAATACACCTACTGTACCTGAAAAATAAAACAATGTCTGTTTTATTTGTATATGTATGTGTGTCTTTGTCATTATTTTATCTTTGTTAAAAAAATAAGAACAAAGATTTTTATCTCCGCCCACCTTGGCCCAAATATCTGCCATTCTTTTTGATTTTGCCAACTTATAAGGCTTTGCTCCTAAAATAGGGAAATTAGTTCACCTGCACTGCTCAGACAACTTGCAGAATAGTAAAACCAAGATGATAAAATCTCGTGATATGATGTTTTGCTCAGCAGGGACCGAATAGTGGAGCACAACTACGCAGAGCTTTCAGAGCGGAGCAACAATGCAAACCGCAGAACATGAGCTCTGAGTTTGGGGTGTAACTCAATATTTGAGGGTTCAGAAGTGATGCAAGGAGTGTGGAGGTCTCACCGTGTCTCCAAGGGTCCTTCGGCTCAACCGCACCCGAGACGATGTCTTCGTCTGATGGAAAGGTCACCCTTTTGGCCCCGTGCTTACTCCCAGCTCCACTGCCTGGTGTTGCAGCCGCTGACGTGGTTTCTGAGGACGCATCCTCACCACGTTCTTCCGGAGGCTGCTGTGAATGCAGTTCTGTGAACGTTTCTGATGTTAAGGAGTTTTCACAATGAGAGGCGCTTTCCTCATTTCGAGTCTGGGCCGTTGGCTCGAACTCCAAAACGTCATTCTCATCCAGACTTAAATCCACACCGATATCCATCTCGCCATCCCCGCCATCTCCAACCGGTGGCTCCTCAAACTTGCTTGCATTCTGCTGCAAATCCCCGGCAGAACCGTTAACAGGGTCGGCTGACCCCGCAACAGACCCGTTGTTTTGACCATGCGGTGCTTTGAGCTCAGAGGAGCCATCATCCTCGGGATGGACGTCTTTTAGCCTGGTCAGGACGGTAGCGTCCCGTTCCCCCAGATCTCCATCCGTCAGCAGGAGGCCGCCTCGGGGAAGGATCTCGTCCACGGCGTGTGATATAGTGTTGTCAGGCGCATTGCACAAATCTATAGCACTGCACAAATCTACAGCTTGTTCCTCGCAATCCATCTTCTCATTTCCAGGGAGCTGGAGCACACGCCGCTGCCTGCCAAAACCAACAGAAGTTCCCTCAATCACCTACAAAACAGTTCAGCCTCTCAAACCCAGTTCAATATCTCCTTAATAAGTGCATCGCATACTCAAATCTCACATCACAGCTGTAAACAACCTCACTCAATTCATACGGTCGCTGGTATTGATTTAGAGGGTTGCATAAAGCATTTAACTCTATCCTGTGTCTTGATTATTTTCTTCAGCAATCCTAACAAAGTTGTAAACACCTACAACATCTTTCAAAGTCAATCTGAATCAGTTTAATCCGCTTTAAGACAGAATAGCTCAACACTGTGCTCTTAAGGTCCCTGTCCACCATTAATACTGTTACTATCCTCTCAGCGTGTGTATAAGAATAAGTTAAGCACTGACAGATGCATTTAAATCTGAAACATTAGATTATAAACACCAGGCGTGGGATGAAGATGAAGATGAAGATGATGAAGATGATTAGGCCTCCTGCTCTCCTACAGCAAGACGACTAAAGTACTAAAACTGACTCTGTAAGCCAAAGAAGTAAAGTGCAACAGCATGTTCAAGGCTCCAGAAGTGTTTAAAGCTGTCCAGACGAGGAATCCTGCTCTGTCACTTTCCGTGTCGCAGTGAACACAGATAAACACAGGCGCCGCGCTCCGGAGCGCTCTCTCGGGCACAAACACCGCCACAAACGCCTCGTCTGCTGCGTCTAAACACTCTACTCCGGCCGCCTCGTGTGAGCGACGTTAAACAGATCGCTAAAACGCGCGGGCAGCGGGGGAAAGAGAAAAACCGTGGCCCGGTGTAGCTCCGGTCCGGACCGACCGCGCGTCTGTTGACTGTACGCAGCTACGTCATCGCCCCGAGATGGAAACGCGCCGGAGATTTCAGCGGCCGCACTTTCGGCGCTTGTTTATGAGGAAGTGCACGCAATAAAATCACAAAGCTGCTCGTGTGTTAGGTTTCTGTGGCAGCTTTTCAATTTGGCAATTTATCTAGATGGGCAGTTGCAGTAGATCACTCTCAAAACATTTCAACGAATCAGTTGACGTTTGAACTTTGCCAAACAGGGCAACGTTGGATGCGTGTTATAGAGAAAAACATATCGCAGACGTATTTAGTCATTTATTTTACCTCTGGCTTAAAGTTTATCTTTGTATATTGTTTGTATTATATATCGTGCTGTAATCTGTTTTGATCTGTAAATGTGTGCATTTACCTTTATATCAGGCCTATGTTCAATACAACAACAAAAACATAACTAAAGAAAGAAAGGAAAATAAAAGGAAAAAGCTAAAATAAATAAATAATTTGATTTAGTCTATTAGGTCAATTACATACATTTAGAAAAATGGACGCTTTGCAAACCACCTATTTCATATTTAATAAATAACGTCGAATAATAGGCCTATGTTAAACTGTTGGGGGATAGGGTTGGAGAGGGACTAGGTTTGGCATTAAAATAATTTTCTGCTGTTAACAATCCCATCTGCATCTGAAATGGAGGATGATGTGCTCCTCACTTGCATCTTTTTAGTATCACGGTAGTTTTAAATCTTTATGAAATAGTTTTATAAATCCTTGCTCTCTTCAGTTGAAAAAAAACTATATTTTTTATTTGACTGTATATGTTTTTTTGATGCTTTAAAGGCCTGAACATGAGTCTGTGTTCACTACACAATCAGTTAATCCATCTCAACACTAGAGGTCAGCGACACCTCAATTCTAATCTGATTTCTAACCTAATTCTGATCTCTACATGCCTTAAAAATAACAACACTGATGCCAAATAAACAGTATTCCAAAGTAGGAATATATGTGAATGCTTTGCTGTACCTGTTTAGCACTTTACCACAATATATAGAATGAGAGAGATCTATCTATCCATCTATCTATCTATCTATCTATCTATCTATCTATCTATCTATCTATCTATCTATCTATCTATCTATCTAAAAAATAAAAGGAAAACGCTAAAATAAATAAATAATTTGATTTAGTCTATTAGGTCAATTACATACATTTAGAAAAATGGACGCTTTGCAAACCACCTATTTCATATTTAATAAATAACGTCGAATAATAGGCCTATGTTAAACTGTTGGGGGATAGGGTTGGGGAGGGACTAGGTTTGGCATTAAAATAATTTTCTGCTGTTAACAATCCCATCTGCATCTGAAATGGAGGATGATGTGCTCCTCACTTGCATCTTTTTAGTATCACGGTAGTTTTAAATCTTTATGAAATAGTTTAATAAATCCTTGCTCTCTTCAGTTGAAAAAAAACTATATTTTTTATTTGACTGTATATGTTTTTTTGATGCTTTAAAGGCCTGAACATGAGTCTGTGTTCACTACACAATCAGTTAATCCATCTCAACACTAGAGGTCAGCGACACCTCAATTCTAATCTGATTTCTAACCTAATTCTGATCTCTATATGCCTTAAAAATAACAAAACTGATGCCAAATAAACAGTATTCCAAAGTAGGAATATATGAGAATGCTTTGCTGTACCTGTTTAGCACTTTACCACAATATATAGAATGAGAGAGATCTATCTATCTATCTATCTATCTATCTATCTATCTATCTATCTATCCATCTATCTATCTATCTATCTATCATCTATCATCTATCTATCTATCTAGCTAGCTACCAAAACAAATAATCACAAATGGCTGTTTCTTGAAATCACAGATTCCCGCCTCCCTCACGCCGGACTAATATTTTATACCATAGTGGCCCTTTGTGGGCCCTTGGTGGCCTGTTCCCCGTCTCACGACCCATTTCCAGTCAAAATATCAACAAGCCTCGACACTCAAACCTCTTGGCACTATTGTATACCTCTATTACAATTCTGAAATTACTAACCAAACCATTTGAACGTTCAGGCTCTAATTCTTCAGGCCTGTCTAATGTGTGACATGGCCCTTCATCTGTGCAGAAGACAGAAACAATTACCAGAACACTTCTGCATCCCGGGGCTGCAGCTGTAACGCAGTTAGCAGCAGTTTAATTTAGCGAAGACGAGAAACAGAGACCTCCCACAGGTGGCTGAAAGTAAATATTTTAACATCAAATTGGAGGCACTCGCTTAGCTTGTTTTTCAATGCAATTTTTCCGGGCTTCCTCTGCAGTTATTAATGGCTATTTGTGCCACTGCCAGTGGTCCGGTTTGATGAAAACCAACTGCATCCTCTGCACCATTTCTTTACCCGACCGTGAAAAGAAACCGAGAGCAAGTGTGGGAAACTGTGAAGACTGAAGCCTTGTGATGTGGCATAACCGCGCTTCGGTTCATGTCTGACAGACCCTTCAAGATGACTCTTCCTCTGTCAGGTGTGGACATGCCTTATTTGACACCACAGGAAACCACAGATCTGTTTGAACTTCCTGTAAGGTTGCCATGGCTGTGCTTTTTAAGTGTCCCTCAGCATTTGATTTATTTTGCACATTGCGCAAATTGAAAACGGATCCAACAATGATCCTTGTCATAGGGGAGGCTGCCGTCTTTGTCAGGACATTACTCATGCGCTCTTCTCCAGAGATCCATTCAACTGACATCAGTTTTAAGATTTCTGCAATTTATCTGCACAAGCCATAAGAAAGCCATAGGTCTTGTGGAGGTTTTAGACTCGAAGAGTCAAAGTTCACAAAATGTGTTTGCATATCAAAGGCACTGGGAGCATCGGGGAAAATGTTGAGTGTGTTTATCCCATCCATCTCTTTGTGAACTGAAAACAGGACATCACAGGAGACGATTCAGGTTTAATGTTTGTGTTGGCTTTCCTCGAAGTGTGCGGTGGGTTTCGGGGTGTGTCTTGAAATGATTTTCGACAGAGCGGCTCTTTCCACCTGTTTCTGCGCACCCGCACCATCTATCAGGTGTGTGTGTGTGTGTGTGGGAGGCAGGTGCTCGGGAATGGGAGCGCTTTTACTGTTGGGCTGTCAGGGAGGCCCGAATCTCCCCCAGCCAGCTGTAAATCCACAAATGTGGCGAGTTGGAGGATGTTACTGTTACTTGATCTCAGGTCGGTTCACTCGGTGCTTTGCTTTATGGAGATGTCAGGCAGAAGCTGGGGGAGAAGGCATTGGGTCCCAGGGAAAGAATTCATCTTCTAAATAAACCAAATCCAAGAGTTAATCGCTAATGCTTTTCACACACTTAGAGAGTCAGAATGAGGCTTCGGTCAATGAAGTGTTAAGACTGCCTTCTTTTAGCTGTACTACATGGACTTTATTAAAAAGATTCATGTTTGTTTGCTTTATATTTCATGATTGCAGCTGCTAAGGCCTTTGAATAACTGTCAAAACAAGTAATTTATTTGTGAGACACTCCTTGGTATTTATAAAATGCATGTTATAAACATGTTATCAAATTTATTCCATACAAGCTATAAGTTCAACTCGAGTATACAACCTGAATATACAATATATACTACCATTGAAAAGTTTAGGGTTAGTATTTTATTTTTTTTATTTTTTTTTAAAGATATTAAAGGAATAGCTCAGCCAAAAATGAAAATTTCCAAGATGTAGATGAATTTGTTTCTTCATCAGATTTGGAGAAATGTAGCATTGCATCACTTGCTCTGCAATGAATGCTGTGCAGTGAATGGGTGCCGTCAGAATGAGAGTCCAAACAGCTGATAAAAACATCCCAATAATCCACAAGTAATCCCCTCCACTCCAGTTCACCAGTTAAGAATCAAATCCAACTTTAACTTTAAACAATTTCTTTCTGCTAACAAATCCAAGAGTTAATCGCTAATGCTTTTCACACACTTAGAGAGTCAGAACGAGGCTTCGGTCAATGAAGTGTTAAGACTGTCTTCTTTTAGCTGTACTACATGGACTTTATTAAAAAGATTCATGTTTGTTTGCTTTATATTTCATGATTGCAGCTGCTAAGGCGTTTTGAATAACTGTCAAAACAAGTAATTTATTTGTGAGACACTCCTTGGTATTTATAAAATGCATGTTATAAACATGTTATCAAATTTATTCCATACAAGCTATAAGTTCAACTCGAGTATACAACCTGAATATACAATATATACTACCATTGAAAAGTTTAGGGTTAGTATTTTATTTTTTTTATTTTTTTTTAAAGATATTAAAGGAATAGCTCAGCCAAAAATGAAAATTTCCAAGATGTAGATTAATTTGTTTCTTCATCAGATTTGGAGAAATGTAGCATTGCATCACTTGCTCTGCAATGAATGGGTGCCGTCAGAATGAGAGTCCAAACAGCTGATTAAAAACATCACAATAATCCACATGTAATCCACACCACTCCAGTCATTTTTTTTAATTTTTTTTAAAGATATTAAAGGAATAGCTCAGCCAAAAATGAAAATTTCCAAGATGTAGATTAATTTGTTTCTTCATCAGATTTGGAGAAATGTAGCATTGCATCACTTGCTCTGCAATGGATGCTCTGCAGTGAATGGGTGCCGTCAGAATGAGAGTCCAAACAGCTGATAAAAACATCACAATAATCCACAAGTAATCCACACCACTCCAGTTCACCAGTTAAGAATCAAATCCAACTTTAACTTTAAACAATTTCTTTCTGCTAAAATCAATAATCTATAGTCTTTTATCAATAATGCTGCTTTCTCCCATTAAAAATATGTCTAGTCTGAATCTGGAGAGAAATCTGCACAGATCAAGCACTTCAGTTTACAAGCCAAAACCGGTGTGAGAGATCAATAGGGGATATAGACTTTTTCACTGAGGAAGCGTTATTATGGATTGTGGACTCATATTTTGGCCAGAAGCAAATGCGTTTTCTTACAAACACGTAACTTTTGTCTTCTCCAGATAACTGTTAACTGATGGACTGGAGTGGTGTGGATTACTTGTGGATTATTGCGA